ATGGTCCGGTGCAAGTTCGGTGGGACTCAGGGCATTAGGTGGTGATTCGACAGAACTCCAGCACCAGGTGGTGGTCCGACTGAACTCTGAGAGTTAGTTGGTGGTCCGGCGGAACTCTGGTGTCACACAGTAATCCAACGGAACTCAGGACGGTGGTGGAGAAGGAGCAAGGAGGCAAGAGCGATCTCTGACCTCTCTCTTTTCTTCCTTTGGCTTGGGTCCCTTTTCAAGGGAAAGAAAGGCTATATTTATAGATTTTCCTAGAGTGACATGGACCGTAAATAGGAGGAAGATCAAGGGTAAATGGGGAGTGGTTTGGATGGACGACCGATATTGAATCCCTTAATCGTGGACAATTTACTGGGCACTTAAATGTCTTAATGATATCAAAATTCAATGATCTTAGGCTCGTTGGATTTGTCTTGTTGAGCCGCTTGATTCTATTATAAGCATGTCATGTTTGGAAACTATTTGGTAATCCAAATTGTTGTTTGAACCTTCCAACAACTCTTTGGTTCCTTGATTCGGACCCATTTGGACTCAAATTGAGTTAATTTTGGTATCGTTTGGTTCTTAATTCTAAGAAACATATTTTTCTGAAATCGGAGTTCAGATGGTCCCAATTTCAATTTTAGAGGATTCCAACTTGATTTTGCCTCAAGATTCGTGCCCGATCTAAATAAATTTTTGATGCTGTATCACTAGTTTTTTTTCTTCTCATTTATGTGTAAAACCCTTTAAAGCATAACAATGACAAAGAGTTTTTGGGCTATATGATGAATTCTATGATCAAAGCTATTCATATGAACATTCAAAAACCTTACCTCAAGCTTTGTCTAGTGAATGACACGACCCCATCAAATTATAAACTTTACATAGAATCTTGTCATTCCTGTCCTCAATTCATCATTTTAAAGATATTGATAATTAGGGCTTCTTCGCTCTTTACTCCACTGCCGTCAAAATCCTTTCAAATAAACCCTCACTTTTTTCCTCCTTCGACTGAAAATGATGGCTTCTCCTCTTCATCCATTTCGCTAGCAACACTGGGTCTCTCGTCTTCCTCCTCTCATTCTATAATTTTATTTAGATGTTTAGAATTAATTCATGTTTGATCGTAGAATTGTACAAAAATGTTGATTTAAACTATAATGGTAGGCTAAACAATAGGGTTAATTTAAAGATTTTAGGGATCTACTTCTTTATAGAGTTGAATAATCCAAATAAACTATATCATATATGTTGCTTTATATTAGTTAACTATTAGTTTTAATGCCTATTTGTGTGTGAGTAATTGATTGAGAGTTCATATTTGATAGAACTATTGAGTTATGTGCCACCATGTGTTGTTGTTTGGATTTTAATTATATAATAATAATAATAATAATAATAATAATAATAATAATAATTGTTGCGTCCTGGAATATTCGCGGCGGTAGAGAAATATAAAATTTAACATCTTAACTTTGTACGAAAATTTGGCATGCAATCAGATAGAGAGATGGTGCGCAACATTTATCAGACACCAAGATTTTTATGTGAAAAACCCCTAAAAAGGGGGAAAAACCACGGGACCTAGTCAAATTTGAATGAATCCACTAGTATTTGCAGTTTCTTACAAATGAAACCCTTCCTTGGGGGAATGCCTTGGCTCTATGTACATCATATGGAGTACATTATATGGTGGGGATGCAAAGAGTCACTGTTGACGTGTTCGTTTGGTCAGAAGGACTGTAGTCGATGGCCGGCATAAGTTGGAAGGACCAAAATCGGTGGGCGAAGGAGGTCATAAAAACTGTTGTCTAGCGATGGAGGTCAAAAGGACCGTAGTCGGTGAGCGACATTAGTTAGAATGATTGTAGTCGGCGGGCGACATAGGACGAAAGGACTATAGTCGTTGGGCGACGAATGTCGGAAGGATCGTTGTCTGATGACGAAGATCAGAAGGACGACATCAGGTAGAAGTCCAGCTATGGATAGAAATCCCACATTGGATAGATGTCCGGTGAAAATTTGACAACGGGCAGAAGTTCGGCGTCGGGTAGAAATCTGGTGACGAGTGGAGGTCCGTCGTCGGGTAGAAGTTCGAATGCAGTCGGCGGCCGGGGAGAACTCCGGCATTAGATGGTATTCGGGCAAGACTCCAGAGTCACTTGGAGATTAGATAGAATTCTGGCATCACTTGGAGATTGGGAAGAGTTCCGGCGTCACTGGAAAGTCGGGGGGAATTTCGGGGTCACTTGGAAGTCGGGCGGAATTCCAACGTCACTTGGAAGTCGGGCAGAGTCCCGGCGGTGGTCGAGGAGGATTTTCTTCCCTCCTACCCTTATCTTCTTCTTCTTATCTTCCTCTTCTCCTTGCTTTGGTCCCCTCTCAAGAGAAATGAGAGGTCTATTTATAGATTTCTGGAGTGACATGTCCCGTAAATAGGTGGGAGATCAGGGGTAAATGGGGAGTGGTTAGATAGACAGCCGATATTGAATCCCTTGATCGTGTACCGTTTGTCAGATATTTTAAGGTCTTAATGATGTCAAAATTTGGCAATCTGGGCTCGTTGGATTCGTCTCGTCGAGCCACTCGATTCGACTATAAGCATGTCATGCTTGGAAATCGTTTAGTAATCCAAATTGTGGTTTAAACCTTCCAATAACGCTTTGGATCCTTGATTACGACCCATCTGGGCTCGGATTGAGTCGAATTTGGTGTCGTAGGGTTTGTATTTTCGAGACAATCAGTTCGACTATAAGTTTGTTGAAATTGGAGTTCAAATGATCCAAATTTTAATTTTTGAAGTTTCCAACTTGATTTTTGCCACGAGATTCGTGTCTGATCAGGATAATTTTTTGATGACGTATCAATAATAATAATAGTATTTCTATACAAATGATTAAGAATATCAATATATTATAATTATCCTTAGACATTTGATATTTATTCTGTTATACCAAGTAAGATTATGTTAACTTAATGATTTGACAACATTATTACCTTGATATTATAGAGTAAGGTTTCGTTTGAGACGACTTTCTTACTTTACTAAAAAAAAATTAATTTTGTACTAAAAATTGCTTTATAAAACAATAAAAAAGCCGTCCCAAACGAAACCTAAAAAAGCTGCTTAAAAAGATGTTAGAAATTCTTTGCAATCAAAGCCTAAATTATATTTTTTTTAATTGTTCATGCCGCATGCTTTTACCTTGAAGTTTATGTTCTTTCAATATATTTTCTATTGCTTGTTATTTTTGCTTTCTTATTGAACTATTGTTAAGGTTTCATTGATGCAATAAAATATTATTTACTTTTTATGCTTAATTCTCAATAAAATAAGAAGCTTTGTTATAAAAATTGGTTTAATTTTAAAAATTCTGATAATTGGGAAATATATAAAGTGGCTCGTAAGGATGCTAAGAAAGCAATATGCGATGCAAAGGCATTAGCTTTTAGTGATTTATATAATAGATTAGATACTAAAGAGGGAGAAAGATATATGTATAAGTTAGCCAAACAAAGAGATAGGAGTAGTAAGGATTTAGTTCAAGTGAAGTGTATTAAAGATGAAGATCAAAAAATACTTTTCTTAGAAGATGATATTCAACAAAGATGGATGAGATATTTTGCTAAACTTTTTAATGAAGATTGTGAAAATAAGATTGACTATAGTGACCTTAGCACCCTAGATGAAAATAAAGATTTATGTTTTTATCGGCGTATTAGTAAAACTGAAGTTAGAGAGGCTTTAAAGAAAATGAAGGGTGGAAAAGCTGTTGGACCTGATGATATTCCATTAGAGGTGTGGAAATGCTTAGGAGATGAAGGAATTTCATGGCTTACTAAACTTTTTAATACTATTTTGAAGACTAAGAAGATGCCAGATGAGTGGAGAATGAGTGTGTTAATTCCTATTTTTAAGAATAAAGGTGATGTACAAGATTGTGCGAATTATAGAGGTATTAAGTTAATGTGTCATACTTTAAAACTATGGGAGCGAGTTTTGGAGCATAGGTTGCGGTGTGATACTAATGTTTCTCAAAATCAATTTGGATTCATGCCAGGTAGGTCGACTATGGAAGCCATACATTTATTAAGAGGTTTGATGGAGAAATATAGAGAAAATAAGGAGGATCTACATATGATATTTATTGATTTAGAAAAAGCATATGATAAAGTTCCAAGAGAAGTGCTATGGAGAGTTCTTGAAAAGAAAGGAGTCAATAATGCTTATATTCAAATCATTAAAGATATGTATGCAGGAGCTATTACATGTGTTCAAACACAAGGTGGATGAATTATTGAATGAAAAATTTCTTCTACTTGTGTGATCTCTTAGTGAGTTCATGAGAGAAGAAGCCCGAGGAGGGTGATTTGCAATACCCATCATATTTGGAAGAGTCCAATGTTCGCGGTTTTTACGATCTCTTTGTGAGTTCGTTAACTTACTTTTATCTTATTTGTAATTTTATTTCATCTCCTTTCTCCCGGTTAGGAGAGTAGAGGTATTAGATTTGACTTATGTTAAGAAAGGTAGGGGTAGACCTAAAAAGAATTGGTTAGAAAATATTAGGAATGACCTTTCTTTATTAGATTTAAACGAGAATTTGACTTTTAATAGGACACAATAGAGAAAAAGGATTCATGTAGCCGACCCCACGTAGTGGGATAAAGGCTTGATGTTGTTGTTGTTGTTGCTGCTTAATCTCACATATTCTGTTAATAATTATTTTTGTTTGAAACTTTCACTTTTGGGTATAAAATTTGATTAATTGATCTTGAATTTTGAAATTTATTTCAATAGTTAAGTTCAATTTAAGTTATTTTATCACAACTTTTTAAAAAATTTTATAATAAAAATTTATTTGTTACAACTAAAATAACTAAATTATTTTACTAAAAAAAAAAAAAAAAATCACAGCTAAGTGCTCAACCTTTTTAGTTATTACTGCAAATGTAAAATGGAAAAAACCGGCCCTGTAAAGAAATGGTCGCCTATATCTTCGTGTGTCCTGACCGCCTCGTCTTCCAAGAATCCCGTAAACAACAAATGACCTCAAGTCTCGCCTGCTCGGTCGACCCGCTTCTGCAAGCCAATTACCAATACTTTCCTCCATCTCACCGCTGTAAAAAGCACCGGCGGCCATTTCACCGCCGCGAGGATCTCCGCAGGCTCCTTAACCAATCCAGAAACTGCCAACAACTTCTTCAAATCCACGCCCACATCATTCGATGTGGCCTCGCCAGCGGAGATCATGCTGACACTTCCCTACTCTACCATCTTCTTCGTCTCTACTCCTCATTCTCCCGTCTTGACCTTGCTTCCCGTCTATTCCGCCTTTTCCCCAATCCTTCAACCTTCGCTTTCAACCTTATGATCCGTGCACAAACCGCGGCCGGCGAACCCACCCGATCTCTCCTACTCTACAACCGCATGATCTTTTCCGGCGTATCTCCTGACAAGTTCACATTTCCCTTCGTCGTACGCTCGTGTACCGCCTGTTTTGATGCGGCAAAGGGTAAGGAGGTTCATGCATTCGCCATTAAGACCGGCTTCTGGCGTGACCCTTTCCTCCTGAACGCACTGATCAGCCTCTACTTCTCGTGCGGGGATGCGGCTGATGGGCTCAGGGTGTTTGAGAAAATGCGCGTGAGGAGCGTGGTAACCTGGACTGCACTGGTCTCAGGGCTCCTCGCATGCGGCGATCTCGCTGCTGCGCGAGCTGCATTCGACGCTATGCCGGAGCGGAACGTGGTGAGTTGGACGGTCATGATCAACGGTTGTGCGAGAAATGGTCGGCCGGAGGAGGCGTTTGCTCTGTTCTGGAAGATGTTGAAGGAGAACCAGAAGCCGAATTCTTACACGATGGTCGGTTTGCTGATCGCCTGCTCGGAGCTGGGGAGTTTGAGTTTAGTTCGATGGGTCCATGACTTCGCCCGTAAGAATGGAATGCTCAAAAGAGGATTCTATATTGGCACCGCCTTGATAGACATTTATAGCAATTGTGGGAGCATTGGTGAAGCTCTCAAGGTGTTTGACGAAATGCCTGTGAGAAGCCTTGCTACTTGGAATTCGTTGATTACTAGCTTGGGCGTGCATGGACGTGGAAAGGAAGCACTTGAGCTATTCAGAGAGATGGAGAAGATGGATTTAATGCCGGATGGGATTACTTTTGTTGGGGTGCTCTGTGCTTGTGTGAGAAGTGGAATGGTTGAGGAGGGATTAAAATTATATAAGATCATGAAGGAAGACTACAAGATAGAATCAGGAGTGAAGCACTACGAGTGTTTGGTTGAGCTTCTGAACAGTGCTTCTATACAGGGGAAGCCCGCTGAGCTTTCTTCTGAACTGAGCACTAGTGCTCAGCAAATGCTAGTTAACGCTTGCATAGCCTGCGGAGAAAACAAGGCAATGGATATTGACTAGTTTTCATCAATCGGTTGAAGTTAGCCAATAGAACGGGCGATATTTTTTTAGCCCACATGGATGAATGATGTCTTGAGTTGGCGTTGGGATGAAGATTTAAAAAATGAACTTTCTTCATAAGATACATATGCTATGTGCTAGAACATGCACGGCTGAGATGAATATCTTAGCTTTACATAAAAGATTTAGGAAATACACAGATAAGAGAAGGATGCAAGACTTGTAAGAGACATCAGGGTTTTTGCATCAAAAATCCAGGAAAGAGAAAAAACCATGGAATTTGCCCCCATCAAAATAATTCCATTAGTGCTTGCTATTGATTATAAATGATATCCTTCATTGAGGGAAGACATTGATGCAATTTAAAGAGCATTTTATATATTTGAAGTTGGAAGGATCCTGTGTGATGAAAGTTATTTTTAAGAGATTGTTTGCTTGTTTGTTTAGTCTTACTCATTTGAGAAGAGGAGACCATATATCACAAAGGACAACATAAATCCTAGTGCTGACATTGGGAGTCAGAGTTGTGTTGATGTTTGGATTGGTCTTATAAAATATGGATTTCATTGACATTACTAGTGATGGTAGTTGTTTAAATCACTAGGCATTGGTGTAGTCCGATGAAAATTGTCAGAAGGCCATGTGACAGTGGATCGTAATTGGGTAACATAGGTTAGATGATCTTGATTAGCCAATGGAGGTCGGAGGACTGTAATCAGGAGATGGTGGTCGAATGACCATAGTCTGAAGACGATGGTTGGAGGTTCGGTCCATAGGATCATATTGGGGTTAGAGTGGTCGAAGGATTATAATAAGGTGACGATGGTCGAGTGTCAAAGTTGAGCGACAGTGGTTGGAGGATAAAGTAAGATGATTGCAGTCAAAGGATTATAGTCGACCGATGGCAGTCGGGGGATCATAGTTGGGTGATGGCAGTCAGAGGACCATATTTAGGCGATGACAGTCAGTAGACCATAATTAGGTGATTACAATCGGAGGATTGCAGTCAAGCGATGATGGTAAGAGTTTTGCTATTAGGTAATTAAGTTGGAAGGATTGTAGTCAGACAATCAAGGTTAGAGGATCATAGTTGGGAGAGTGGTCGAAGGATTGTAGTCAAGTGACGATGGTCCAGGGATTGTAGTTGGGAGTTGGTGAATTATTGTCAGCAATGGTGGTTGGAGGGTCGTGACCAGGCAACAAAGGTCAAAGGAAAAAAAGTCGGGTGATGATAGTCAGAGGATAGTAGTTGCATAATGGTGTTTAGTGAATTGTATTTGGGCAAAGGTGGTTGGCATAATCATAGTCGAGCGATGGTGGTCATCAGATCATAGTCTGTAGATCATTATCGTGCGATGGAGTTTGGTGGACCATAATCTAGCAAGTGAATTGTAATCCAATGATGGTGATTGGTGGCCTATAGTTGAGTAATGGTGGTCAGAGGATCATAGTTTGATTTTGATGGTGACGGTCAATCGGTGTTTCGACTACACGAATGGTGGTCCAATTACGATGGTCAGGCAGTTGTCTGATGACACATATTAGATAGTGGTCTGATGATTCTTGTTGGGGTATGGTTCAATTGTAACAACCCAAACGACTAGGATATGTCCAATCGTGTTGAACTGTGACTAACAAATTCTAAGATCTAGTTTGACAGAATCTAAAAGATTTGACCCCTTATCTCTACCAATAGATATAATTTAATCACATATGCATATTTTTTTATTATATTATAGTAGTTAAAACATAATTGAGCATGTGCCAAAATTGTACATTTTTTTATAGCAGTAGGCAATAGAAAATTCTATAAAACAAAATTGCATATTTTCAATAAATAACTAAATTATCAGGGATTGTGTAAAATAATATTTTAATATTTTTATTATACTACAACACTATTTTTTATAGGTCAAATGTTTTTATATTCAATATACTCCATAAATTTTAAAACTACCATTATAAAATTTTCAAAAAATACTCAAAACTTGTGTAATCTCAATCTCTAAAACAAATAAAAAATTATGCGGTGGAAATTTCATTAGTGCAAAATTATTCATTTTTTTTCGTTAACGGAAACATAAATTTGATCGAAAAATTAGATAAAAACTTCGTATTTTTAAAAATTAAGATATGTGTAATGTGACATATCTCGAGGCAAATAAGTATTTGAACTGGGCTGACAGATGAAAACAACTTGAAGTCATCCAAAGTTGGACTTTATTTTTCTCTCTACTCACTTTTTCTCTAATTTTCTCCTTTTTTTTCCTTCTAGTGTTCTCTGTTAATCCAAATAGGAAGGGGATTAATGAAATTTAATATTTTTAGTTTAGTGGATTATGATATTATATTAAAATATTAGATAATTATTTCTTATGAAATTTTATCACTGTTCAAAAATTATGAAAAAAAATTAGAAAAACTAAAATACAATAATATGTATGTTATGGCGAAGACGATTTTTAATTTGAACTTATAATAACTCTTGAATAATTTTTTACTATTGTAGATAAAAATTTTTTTTAAAAGAATTTAAGGGTTTTCACAATATACCCACATTAAGAAAATTGGCATCCTTGATATTTCCGTAACTTCGCTGTTTGTGATTTTAACTTATAATAACTCCTGTAATAATTTTAACTATTGTAGATTAAAAAAAAAATTCTTAAAAAAATTAAGGATTTTCACACTACCGATTAACGATGATGATCGGATGGTGGTTGGGCGGTGGTGCTTTGGTGGCACTTCGAGATCTTTAGAGCCCTAGAGTTCTGTTGAATCTCAACTCAAAATACAAGCTCTAAGTCCAAAATGAGGACATATTTATGAAGTTTTGTGAGTGTGATGCTCTATATATATAACCAAAATCTAAAACATAAATAAAACAAAAATCGGAACACTCCATCATAAAGGCAAGTGTTGACTCCCTCGATAAAAGATTATTCTTTTATCATTCAAGTGTCTTAATGATGTAAGACTTAAAATATCTTGGGCTTGTTGGATTTGTTTAGTCAAGACATTCGATTCAATTATAAGCATACAAGATTTGAAGATTTTGACATCATCTAATTAATTATATGAGCCTCATTTGAGCTCACTCATGCTCGGATAATATCACTTTTGGCAAGGACGGACCCATGCTTTGCCCAGGATGGGCAATTGAAATGGTAAAATGTCTAATTTGAAATTTTTCTAAATCAATTACTAGTCCAGTTTAATTTGTGGTTAAATAAATTAGAGAAATAAATTGAAATTATCATTAGCAATACATTTTCATTGATACTTTCTGATCATTTTTAAATCCAATACTATTCATGGCAACACTTTAGATTAATTTGCATTGTTATATATTTTTATACTTACATGTGAAGCAAGATCCATCATGATTATATATATATATATATATATATATTGTTATCTATTTTTGCAAAAAACTTAATTTAGGTTAAAAAATAGAAGAAATAAAACTCTAGGTACAAGCGACGAGTTTACATCTTTGATTAGCATTGATGCTCTTGCAAAAACAAATTGTAAAGGCAAAAATGAATATTGTGAATCCTCCGGTTTATAGATTTATATATATATATATATAATTTAATTTTTTATATAACGAGTTTGCCCACCGTTAAAAATAAGGTTGGATCCACCCCTGACTTTTGGTATTATTGGATTCATCTCATTGAGATGTTTAGCTCTTCTTTAAGTTTGCAGGAATCAAAGTTCAAATGGTCCTTAATTTAATTTTAAAAATTTTCAATTCAATATGCTTTGAAATTCATGTCAGATATAGATTATATTTTATGATGTATGATTGTTGATTGAGAATCGGCTTTTCTCTTCACCAACTTAGAGCGTGCCATGTTTAAAGTCCCTTAAAGCCTCATGTTGAGTAACATTGTATCTTAAACAAGTCTTCTATTATTTAGCTCTAATTTGGTTCTTAGTGACAAACAACTAAACCCACTATAAGAACTCATGTTGCTACCCACTAATAACAACTATTCACCCAATGAGCCCATAAACTTACCCAAATTATTAGCCAGCTGACTAGAAGTTCTAATTAGAAGAACTCATCGATGGAACTTCCCATAACTCTCTTGACTTGAACCCGACATAATGCTTAGTTCACATACAACACCACTACTTACAATGGGTTCAATGAATTCATTTTTTATATAATTGCACTATGTATTCAATTCTATAGCATCGATCTCGTTCCTCATTGACAAATAGAGAGTTAGTAGTCAAGAGCGATTAATAAAATTTTGGTTAGGAAAACACATGAAAATTAATTGGAATCTTTGAAGAATCCTCTACAAAATCTCTCTTTATCTCTCCGAATTATGTTCCACAAGTTTGGATTGATTTAACCTTCTCTATTTAAAGGGGCTTGGATTCTCTCTAAATGATTTCTTAGGAGTTTTATTTGAGACCTAGCTTATCTCTTCCTCTAGCTTTTCAGCTTAGTTATTTCTTTAGTAAGATCTTAGCATACTCTTACAAATAAAAGTTGAAGAGGAAGAGGAGGAAGAAGTGAGGGAAGTTGTTCATAAGTTAATCGTGGAATGGTACCTTCATACATAAAATCATTCGAGTTCAAGTGAAAACATCTATGTATATTTCGGTTCTACAATACATTATATATATATATATATATATATATATGCCATGAACTTTTATTCTTGTTCATTGCCTTCTTGGTTCTTGGTTCTTTATTTGAAAGGTTACTTGTAAGTAATTCTTGTACATTATCAATTTTATATGATTTTTCTAATCTAGAGAATACATGAATAAAAGCAATAGTATATGCATGTATAATGAAGACATCTATATGTTTTTTTTTTTCAAATATTTTATTCACTTAACTCAACCTTATATACTAAATAGCTTATAAGGGCTTTACATTTTGCAACACCTATAGAAAATTTATCTATACATATATCTTGGCTCATAAATATACAATACAATATAAAATGTATCGCCAAATAGAGCATTATAGTACAACACTATAATTGAACAAAAAAATATAGCTACATCCTACCATAGACTAACAACATATGTGGTTGGGATAATAACACTAAAATTAATTTTATTTCAAATATCCAATTAAACTAAAGGATGACACCTTAACTTATGATGCTATCCAAAAGTACTAATATGAAAATTGTGTTCCTAATTTTAAAAATGGATATTGAAAGTTTGTGTCACTTAATACATAATTTTCAAAGTAACTTTTTTCAAATGAATAATATTATTTGAAATGTTGACCGTATATATAATCAAAATACTTTTTAATTTGAAAATACATTTAATGTGATATATTCTTAATTATATGGGTCTCTGAAGTAATTACATGAGTACATGAGATATGATTATCATCA